TAGTGTATATATATATATATATATATATATATAGGAGCACCCTTACACTCGATAGCGGGAATTTGCATGGATATAAAGCTAGTGCATAAAGAATCAGATGTATCTGTGTGTGTGTGTGTGTGTGTCTGTGTGGCCCCCTTCCTAGCAGCTCTGATTCGATTCACGTGAACTGTCTGCCGAGAAGAGCCAATCCCGCTGACAAGAAAGAAAAAGACACAAAAATCACGATAACATCAAAGGCGGGAGACATGAAAAGAGGAGCTGCGTTGAATGCGTGGATAGAAGCGGTAGATGGCGCGAGTGTACATCGCGTCCGGTGCAGTAATGGTGTTGGGACGCGTGCTGTTTCAGTAGGGTCTTTTGTTAATTAATTTCTATTTGCGTTTTTCCGCCAGACAGTCGCCACAGAGCGCGAACAGACTGAGTCCGTTCTTGGAAAGAGAAAAAACATAGTGATCTACCCAGACAAAGCCAATGACGGCGGCAGCAACTCAGAGCGAGAAGGATCCCACAACGGCGAGGCCGCTGCGGCGTGTCAAGCGGCGGCGCGGCATTTGCTGGAAGGCTGAAACGCCTCCGGCACTGGTAGCCCTTTGCGTGTCAGTCTCTTCGCCACGTAGTCGTCCAGCATCGAAGAGTGGTTCGAGTAAAATTCCCCAATTTTCGGCGGCACGGGGCGATGCGAGTAGCTGAAGAGCGTAGGCGTAACGTCCGCGCTTTTGGACGCCACGGCGGCCACGTTCAGCTTGCGCCGCTCAAAGCCACAGTTGTGCCACACCGGCTCTATCCGCACCTGGTACTCCACCACACGCGCCGCCACAATCTGCACCACCAGCGCCTTCAAGCACAGCTCCCCTAGCGTAATGACGTGCTCGGGAAACGTGTACCCGGCTGGGTGAACCTGATCCGGCATCAGTAGCCACCGCAGCTGGCCCAGGACTTGACGCACGAAGGTGGCTTTACGAGAGAACGCCTCGTCCTCCATGTTCTCGCGTTCCCGCTCCGCCTTGGCGGATTGCATCTGCGCCTGCCGCGAGCTCAGCACTGTCGTCGCTGCCGTCGCAGCTGCGGAGGGGGACGGCGACGCCACAGCGCACTCGTTCTTGTAGCCGAACGACGCAGAGGAGCTCGTTGCGATGCCGCCCAGTCCCATGGCCGCCGGCGAGCTCGGCCCGAGCTGGGACCGCAGCGCCACCTTATCCAAGGTGAACATGCCACACATGTCGTACACCGTCTCCATGTTGTAGGAACAGGTGATGAAGTCGACCAGGTTGGAGTAGTCCTGAATGTGCGCCTCCGGGTAGAGGCGGGCAAAGGGGGCAAAGAGGCACTCGTGCAGCACGAGCGCCCCCTGATGGTCCATGCCACGCAGACCACCCACCATGATGTGCAGATAGGTGTCGCGCGTTTCCCCGAAGTAGAGCATCCCTGCCTCCTCCAGTTTCGCCAGCATGGCGTAAACTTCGTTGCGGTTGTACTGGTCCTCGACGGAGAAGAGCCGATGGAAAGGCTCGATGCTGTCGACGCCAAGGCTCTCCTGGAAGGCCTTAAGGAGCTCCTCGGGATTCCACCGCCGAGGCCACTCCACCATGTTCGTGTAGTGGAAGTCCATCAGGGCGTGGTCTTTGCGGCCGATGTGGTTCACCCACTGCCCTATCGGCTCACTGCACAGGTCGCACCAGTGCGGGTTGCGGACGACCCAGTTGCGCCGTTGAATGCGGCCGTGCAGCATCGAGTAAATGGGGACGCTGCCGCCCTCGGTCGCGTAGGACGAGATGGACGGTGAGGGTGTGCCGTCTCCCGCTGCTGCATTGATGACGTTGTTGTCGGTGCTGGGCGTCCGTGCGACCGTCATCGCAAGGCGCACCGCAAGACTGGCGCCTGCGCGAAGCATCGTCGCCAGAGTGGATAGGTAAAGCACTTCCTTTGCTTTCTTTTGCGTAGTTTAACGATTTCTTGTTTGGTGGTGCTTGAGTACTAGACTGCACGCCGGGCTCGCTTTCCGTATTGATTGAATTACGCGTCTCTCCCCACACACACTTAGGCATTTTAATGAAGCAGCAGCATTGCAAGGAAATGGTACATACAGAAAAC